GTATTATTTTATTGTTTTCTCCACTTGTAACGATAAGCTTCAAGCTATCACAGGAACAGGGAGAATATACAGTATATATTCTCTACCTTTAATAACTGTGTGTTTGCTGAGGTAACTGTTACCGTGAATAAAACAGCTACTTGTGAAGTCGTTATATATGTAACAAACTTCCTGGGTTGTCACAGCTTGTAACAATCGCTTGTGAAGCAAGTTACCTTATATTTTAGACATACTAAAATATAGATCAAAGAATATTGGATCTTCTGTAGTGAAATCCTTTATGTTCTTTTTCGTTGATTTTATTATAAAAGGTTTCTATGTACACTTTCAAAAAGGATTATCACTGTAATTTAATCACTGTAGCTATGAGTGTTAAATGAGGACGGAGGCTTTTTTTTATGGGAATTATCCAACCCGAGCACAGGTCAAACGACCCACAACGGGTCCTGGGGGGCGAAAAAAAATACAAAAAAAGGTTATACTGTGTTAATCTACACCACGAAGATACCGGAAAACCAGCTTTTTATGGTGAGACAGATTGTATAAGTATGGAAGAACAGAAGAAGGCAGAGCATTCCACCGTTTGGCTGTGTCAAGAAAGAAGGGGGTACTATAATGGGTTATTCTCGTGTGACCGACATCAACAGAGAAACGGTGGGCACCGCGGGCAAGACGTGTGTTACGAGCCCACCGCCTTGCCTGCGGTACACAGGATGCCAAATCCACCGAACATTGCCCGTTAAAGTACCTGCAAGAAAGAGGGTGAAGGAACATTGTGGCGAAGAGAAAGGGAAGAGAGATTGTCGACTAAAGGAGGAGAGTTAATAAGACGAAATGCCTTTGATTCCACCCTGTCTAATAGTTGGACAGAATAAGAACCACCCCAGATAAGAGAGCAGTACTCCAAGTTAGGACGAATGAATCCCTTATATACTTTGAGCAACTGCTCAGAAGTGAAGAAGCTACGGCATCTGTACAGCATTCCCAACTTTCGGGAGGCAGCTTTAGCTATACTAAGGATGTGCGATTTCCATGACATATTGGAGGAAATGGTGAGGCCTAACATATTTATTTCGGAATTTGGCAGGATGATAGCGTCCTGAAATGTAATTAGCGGCAGATCGTCAAATTTACAAAGTGTAATTGGTAAATATTGAGTTTATTACTATTGAATTTAACCAAGTTTGTACCTCCCCATTGAGAGATGCTGCACAGATCCGCATTGATAGAAGTAATGATATCAGTTCTAGAAACAGATCTAGTTTGAGAGTTAGAAGGAAGGGGAAAATGTGAAGAAGAGTGAAGAGTAGAATCATCAGCGTAAGAATGGATAGAATTAGTTGTAGTGTGAAGTAAATCATAGATAAAAAGAAGGAAGAGAGTAGGTGAAAGAACAGAACACTGTGGGACACCACTACTGGTAGAGAAAGAGCGAGAGATCGATCCCTCAACAACAACTGCCATGGATCGGTTCTCAAGGAAGCTAGAGATGAGAAAACAAAGCGGGGGAGAGAAACCAAAAGAGGGAAGTTTAGATAGCAAAGACTTATGCCATACCCTGTCAAATGCTTTGATGTCGAGGGCCACGACGAAAGTTTTCCCATAATCCCTAAGAGAGGATTACCAAAGATAGGTGTAATAGGAGAGCAGATCACCAGTAGATCTCGCCTGGCGAAGGCCATACTGGTGATTCGACAAAAGAGAATGGCGTTCAAGGTGACGGAGAAAATGGGAGTTCAAGATAGTTTCGAAAATGTTAGAGAGGGATGAAGTTAGGGCAATGAGGCGATAGTTAGAGGGATTAGAATGATCACTCTTCTTCGGGATGGGCTGAACCAAGGCATGCCTCCAAGCAGAAGGAAAAGTTTGGGTTTTGAGGCAGAGGCGAGCAGGCACAAGGGTCAAGGCTTCAGCACACTCCCTCAGAAGACGACGGGTTATTCCGTCCGGTCCATGCGCCTTACTCAAATCCAACCTGGATAACACATCGGCAACCCTGCGAGTGGAGAGTATAGGAAAGTGCATAGGTTCAGTAGGAGGTGCAGGGGTAGGAGGGATAGAGTGGGAATCGTCTAAGGTGAAATTAGAGGAGAATAAGGTGCCAAAGAGGTTGGCTTTGTCAGGGGGAGAATTGGCTACAGAGGTATCAGGTCGGAAGAGGGGAGGAAAAGAAGGAGTGCAGAAGTTATTACAGATGTTTTTAGTTAAGGACCAAAGGGATTTACTAGAGGAAGAATTAGTCAGGATAGCGGTCTTTCTTTTAATAATATTCCGCTTGGCCCTACGAAGAGTAGCCTTACAACGATTCCTAGAAGTAATGAAAGAGGTGTGGGTAATAGGAGGAGATAGTTTCATAGCTCGATATGCCCTATCTCTCACCCTGCAAGCAAGAGAGCAGGAGCGATCAAAGCATGATTGTAATGTGAAAGTTTTGGTAGAAGATGGGATAAATGCACTCATACCACCCTGTATAACACCAGCAATGCTGTCAGCACATACCAAGGCGTCCCGATTGGAAAAGCGACATTCATCCCAAGGAAAGTCGGTGAAAAATTCTGGCAAGGATTGCCAGCTTGCCCTCCGATAGTGCCATAGTTGACGTTTAGAGGGGGGTGGGGGAGGTGGTCGTACCCAGTTTGATTTAATAGAAATAAGGTTGTGATCAGAAGACCCTAAGGGGGCAAAAATTTAGTATGAATAGTGTGAGGGGTTAGAGGTAAAACAAAGATCAAGACTGTTAGCAAGTTGATCGTGTCTATCAGGAACGCGTGTAGGGTGTTTGATTATTTGTTCCAAATCATTAAGTAGGGAAAAAGAGAGTGCCTCAGCTCCACCTGGGTCATCCCTTGCAGAGCCAAGCCACTCTCTGTGATGTACATTCAAATCCCCTAGGTAGAGGATCTCGGTGTTGGGGTGTGTGGATAGGAATGACTCATGGCAAGAAGTGAGATAGTCAAAGAGTTCGAAATAGTTGGTAGAGTTGGGAGAACAGTATAGAAAACAAAGAAAAATAGTCACAGTAGGTAGAGTTATTTTGAGCCAGATGACATCATAAAGGGTAGATTCAAGCTCCGTGAGTCGAGCCATAGGTGTACGTGTGTTGCTGTAGGCGCATACTCCACCCTTAGAACGGAAGGAGGTAAAAGGTTGTAGTTGGAGACTTGAAAAGGTTTGGGTGAAGCTGCTTTGGTCAGTTGAAGTTCGGTTAATAGTAATAGGTCGGGGGGAAGTAGTTAATAGATGATGCTCCACAGAAGAAAAATTGGATCTCAGGCCGCAAATGTTGGAAAAATGAAGTGTGAAAAAAGCCGATCCTCCAGCAATCGCGGTGGCGTCAGCTGAGGCCCCAGTAGCTTGATGATGATCAGGTCGGCCCTGGGGTCCAAAACCTTCCCGACCAGTGGGACCCATCCGAGAAGGCCCCCCTTCAATGTTAATATCAACTGACATAGGAGAATAAAATAGAATGAATAAAACAGATCAAGAATGAGTAAGGTTATATTTGTTGTGTTGTCAATAGTAAGAGAGACAGCTGAGACCCTGCAATTGTGTAAATGAGGCAGAAAGATAGATCAGCAACCAGGGACTTGGTCACAATTTTCGTAATGCCATATGACAACAGGGTCTACCATAAGACAATGCATTATGCTTCCAATATCTTCCTAGGCGGTAGTACCTCCCTGTTTGGTAGCTTCCTACTACCTCCTACCTACTAAATAAAATAGCTCTGGTAAGTACGGCCTGTCGATGTGAGAGTTGAGTGAGAATGAGTAGGGGACCGTCCTCCCTCGAGGGAAGACGGAACCATTAGGGTTATGAAACTACTGTTTGTAAGGGTACTTGTTGGAAATGCTGGACATATTGATATTCCTCTGTTTTGATGTTTAAGCAGGGGGACGTGGACGGCGGACAGTCTTTCTCTACTTTCACGAGGAACAGAAGCTCCTGGTTTTTCTCCTTCCACTGCCTTCTTGCTTCTATCTGAGGTGCACCAGGGGTTTTTCGGGTGATCCTGTGATTCTTGTTGTTGCTGTGTATTCGATAAGACTGGTATTTGCCAGAGTAATATAGATTTTGCCCTAAGTGTTCTCAGGTAGAAGTGTTTATGTTACTCAATGTTATTTTCTTTTGTAATTTTTCTTGTAAAGGTATTTACCCGATGCTTGCATGTATTTACCCTAAATATTCTTGGGTAGGAGTGTTTGCATTATTCAGTTTTATTTCAGTTTTGTGTTTTTGTGTAAAAGACATATAAATAAGGAAGTTAAGGAATAATCATTTTTAATTTTAGTTAAGTGTTGTTTCATTACTATTGGACCATCTTTCACTAATTATTTTGTCATGTTAATATAACTTTGAGTGACCTATGTCAAAAAATATATATGTGGTCATTTGGTGTATTTTTCCATGGGAATTTTTTGGCATTGTGTTTGGTCACTGACACAGTGCTGGATTTCTGGTTGTTTGTTGGGTGAAAATTATATGCATTAAGTGACATTCCAGTGCTTTGAAGGCCTTAAGTATATAGGACGGAAGTGATCTTAACAATATATATATATATATATATATATATATATATATATATATATATATATATATATATATATATATATATATATATATATATATATATATATATATATATATATATATATATATATGTATATAGTATTAAATCGTGATAATTATAGAGTAGCGAAAATTTTTCTTTATTTCTCGTTTTTAGGAAATGGCCTGACCTAACCTAACCTAATCCCCATAAGCAAGTTTAGGGAGGAAAATATGATATTTTAGCATCCTTCCCATGAAAAATGCTTATTCTATAAGTAAAAAAAAGCTTCGCATTAGTCTCCACCTGCCAAGAAATCGAACCAGGAACCACTAACTTACAAGTCAATTGTGCTAAGCGTTGCGCAATTAACACCGTTACAACTTTATAAATTTAGTATAAAATGTACATCAAGTGTATCAACATATATTTAAACTGCATATTTTAACAGCTAAACAAGACAGCCCTTCATCAGTGGTGGGGCTCGTGGAGGCGGTGATGGCGACAGTGACGTATTCCGATTATTCAGTCTTTCTCCTCATGGATGGCAGCACCTCCCCCTCCACTGTCTACAGTGTAGGTGATTTGGCTATAGCTTACGCAAATTATGGCACAATGCATTAACATTATTGGCCGTGAACATTAATACAACAACATTTAATTAAGATAACATACTATTATACTGCATGTGAGACCAATGTTGTATTCTCATAGTTGGTAGATTATCTACGGATCCCTGGAGGTGTTGGGATCTTTGAGGTAACAGCTGACAACGAGGAACAGTTTTCTCACCTCATCATTGTGATAAAGTTGGCAAGTATCTTTTATATTCCTATTATAGTTAATACGTCATTTAATATACTTAGTCGGTAAGTCCCACTTAAATTATTGTCGAGACAAGTTAATCATTCTAACAGTGGTACTTGGGGAAGTATCCACTCACATCATTGTCACAGTCAGAAAAGATCACTCCTATACTATCATTACGGCATTAACAGTTGCGGGAATTGTCATCACAAACGACTATTGTGGTCATCAGCGACGAATCAGCCTTCTTTGCCGCCTTTGCTGAGTGGTCCTTCAAGAGCCGCCTCCTCGTGTGGTCAGTAAGGCTCCTCGCCGTCACCCGCCTCTCCCTTCCGGAGCTTCATCACCTACATGGTACATTCTCAAAGATGAACGCCATGTTAGCCATCGTCAATGACATTTCAGCAAATATCAGGTAATCTGATTCACGTGAGTTTCAAGTGGAGAGAAAAATGAATAGGAAGTAAACCGATTTAATTATTAATAAATACACAAACAAACACACACACGCCCACACACACACACACACACACACACACACACACACAAACATACACAGACACACACACACACACAGGGACGTAGAGAGAAATTAAAATATAAACCAAGATATCTTTAAAAATACAGAACTGGTAGGTTGGACAAACTGCAGGAAGATATATTAACACTTTTTATGAAGTTGATTCTTTTAATCGGGTTGTTCACGTATGTTTTGGGTTGCTTTCACTGAACTAAGTAAATTTACGATTTATTTATATATTGTTTATACATTCTTTTTATATTCTACACTTATTGTGGAAAGAGTTAAAATAAACTGAATATCCTGGAGTCGCCGGCCGCTTCAATGAGTCATGACTTCATCAAGCTACGGGAGAATCCAAAGAGTTTCTCAACATCCACTATCCCTCCTGTAGGTGCAGCATATACGTACACCTCCCGTACAGCCCTCCGGGAACCCAGGCGTTGAAGGTTGCCTCCTGGACGCCCCTTCGTGGCCTCACTCTTACCACTCATCTCCCGCTCTTCCCTGACAAGTTCTCCAAGTTAGTTCCAGGATATAAATTTTTCATCGTTACTTTAATCTTACTGTTTATGTAGCTGCATTTCAAAAATGTTCTGAAACCAGATTTATATCCTTTATTGATAGGAATGATCAATTCTTGAGATTTTAAGAAAAAGTACTAAAAGCTTTATATGACTAATGAATGTGTTAAAAACGTTTGTGGGATCCATAAGTTTCTTGTCAATGCAATATATGAGAGAGCATTAAGATAGTATTGCAATTTGGAACACACGCCAGTTGTCGGATATGTTATAAAAATTTACAACATGGTTGAAGGCACAAGAACTCAGGTAACTTATTGAGGTCCAGAGATGTCTGGTTAGATCATCCACGGAGACTGATTGTATAGTAGACCGTGAATACTGGAATCGTTTAATATAATAGAATAGTTGTCACAAAATGAACCCGACGACTTAGTATGGACAGTAAATTCATATGGATTTATTTTTTAAATCAATGTAGCTGTTAGAATTCACGCTCTATACTCCAAGTGCAGCGAGGATAGAAGCAATACGTGTGAATAGAATATATATTAATATTTTTCTGTTTCTTTCTGCATTAATCTTGCACCACTGTAGTATTTGTTTCCTCCTTCCTTTGGTGCTACCCTTCCTCTACGTCTATCCCACATGACAAGAGTAGAGAAAACATAAATATTGGTAAATGATGTCGCGAAAAGTATCGCGATATACTCTATGTAAATATTATTGCAAATATTTTTATATACCAAGAATTGAAATATTTAGTTGAGTATAATCTTACGTTAATAGTTACTCGGATTTAAGATGAGGTTGCACAATGGTTACTTTTCTAAGTATTTATAGTAATAGGAATGTAACGTGAAGAAAGTTTGGTAGCGTGGCCGATTAGTTTATTTCACTTGGTATTATATTCGTAGGGGAAAACTTTCTAAGCACCAATTCTAAGTACAGCTATTTATTAGTTAACTCAATGGCATGGACACATTAATAGATCGTTATATTGACGTTACTAGACAATGACTCTCAGACACAAACATGAAATGGATATACTTCCCACCGTAAGTAACTCACCCTATGGATCGCTCTGACAATGACTTACGTGTGACCTGAGGGTGTCACTCCATCTTCCTCGGAGTACTTTCTCTCCCTGTCTGTCCCTGGGAAAGAGCTGTCGGCCTCTTATATTGGCAGTGACAGGCCGGCAGATTACCTCTCTTAATTAACACTAGTCTGGGTGTGTCGAGGCAGCTGTGTTTGCCCAGGTGAGTGGTGCGGGCTGGAGGGTAGTTTCTTGTGTTAACACGGTCATTATCGCGTGACGGTGAGAACTCTGGTTCCCTTTGCGACCGTGACCTCCTTTGGGTCTTAATCTCACTTTAATTACTGTAGGGTGTGTCAACTTACGTGGTTGAACATGTGCTCCTCTACTCACTGTTATATGTGCTTTTCTCCTCTGTGCTGTAAGCTATGATATGATAAACAATCATTCCACTTTGGTTGACAATGACTAGTTTAAATTTACAATTACATGTTTATTAAAATCTTATTACTGTAATACATTATTGACTCACGAGATTGAGACTTGCTAAATGTGAACTTATATCATCTAAGTTTTAATCTAAGGTGTATCGTTGTGGCAGACATAGATGGGTCGCGGGTTGGGTTGTTGTAGTGCGGGCAGACACCAGGGCCACCAGGCGTGGGGTCGCCCTCCATTGATGTCTTCCCTGCATAGGTGGTCTGGGCTGTGAGGGTCGTCCAGCAGCTTGCCCTAAACCTTCTTCCCTAGGCGATGGAACCTGACGTTGAGGGCCTCTTTTTATTTCTCAGGTGGATGGTTTCCAATGTTTCCTGGTAGGGTGGCGATTGGCCATTGGCTGCCCTCAGACACTTGTTTTGGAAGCTGTGTAGTTGTTGTAGCCTGTTCTTCGCGAATGTAACGAGTAGTATAGATGGGTACTCCAACACAGGCCTCACCAGCGCCTTGTACAGGTGAACTTGTATCTTCTCAGGCATCAGTTTAAAACGTTTTAATTTGGCTGAGGCGACTTTGGCTTTCTTTAGTCTGTCCTTCACGTGGGAAATGATGCCCGTCCGAGAGATGATGATGCCGATCATCAATGGCGCTGGCTTGAATTTAACTATACGTATGAACTCGAATTTCGTCTTGTTTGTTTTTGTTTTCCATTTATTTTCATACTCCGAGATCTCCTCTATTGCCCGAGCAGTGAGTCGCGCCATCCTTGCCGTGGACCTTCCTGGGCAGGTGACGATCTGTGTTATATCGTTGGCATACATGACGTACTTGCCGTCGACGATTAGGGGTGGCAGGTCAGCCGTCTAGACTGCAGACCATGTAAAGGGTTGGTGAGAGACAAGAGCCCTGAGGCATGCCGCTCGAGAGTGAGAATTCTTCTCCACAATATTCTTGCATCTTAATTTTGGCTCTGTGGTCCATAATGAAGTTGCACAGCAAGCGCATTAGGTTTTCGGGTAGCCCCAGTTGTATGATCTTATACTGCAGCCCCACGTGCCAAACTTTGTGAAACGCCTTGGTGACGTCCCTCAGCACTATGTTGTACTGCAGGCGGCCAGTCATGGCGTTGGCGATCTGCTCGTAGGCCTGGCTATGGCAGTGGATGTGCCTCGGTACTGGCGGAAGCCGAACTGGCGGGGATTATGCACGTCTTAGTCCTCTAGACACATCCGCAACCGCTTGTATACCGGGCTGGTACCTCAAGTAGCGATATTGGTCGAAAGTTTTCGACTTTGTTTGGAGGCTTCCCTGCTTTTGATATGAGGCGGATAACTGCGATTTTTAACGTCTTCGGGAAGTATCCAAAGGCGTGGCAGACATTGCATATATGAGCAAAGTCTCTATCACGTTGTCGGGGACATGGGCCAGGATCTTCTAGTTAATATGGCTTTGCCCAGGTGACTCGTTTTTAAACCCTATTATGATGGCTGACACATCTGCAGAACTATGCGCTCTGTCAGGTCGCTGTCGTCCACCAGTCTAGTGAAGTCAGTCCGTGCAAGCGGCTGGAGCAGGTGCTGATGGTCTTGCAACTGACCTAAAATGTCCTCCTCAAACTCCCTGTGGCCTCGTTCTCCTGTTCACTAATGGTAAAGATCTTCCGTAAATATCGCCTATATAATTGTTCTTGGTTTTCCTCCTCGAAAATTTTCTCGTTGTTTTGGTCGAGCAGGTAAGGGACCGTGCTAGATGTGGAACCCATCAGTCGTTTGATCCCTTTCCAGATGACAGCAGAATCGCGGTAATTGTTGGCTGCCTTCCACACGTTCATGTAGACGTTTGCTGTCGTGCTGGATGTCCATCTGTAGCTTTCGATACCGGTCTCTCAGTTCTTGCTTCCACCCTCGAATACTGGCTAGCTGTCTCACGTGATCGTACTGGACATTAAGCTGCCTCAGCTGGTGACTAGTGTGAGGATGGGGAATGGTCCTGTGGGTGGTGGTCGGGATGTTGTTGCCCATCTCCGTCTTCACATTGTTCGATAGCGTCGTCGATGTCATTGGGGCTGACCTCTTACGGGTTCCTCCCCTGCTTGAGACTGAGAGACTCCTTGAAGGAGTCCCAGTCTGCCCGTTTGAGGTTTTACCTGATGTTAGCGGGGATCATAATGGGATTGGATGAGAGCGTCACAAGACTGGCAGGGGGTCGCTGATACTGATGGGTCCGGCGGTAACGTGTCTGTTCAGGACGGCCTCGTTGTTAGAGAGGATTATGTCGGGTTTTGTGGCACTGGCACGTCTGATCAATGTCGAGAAATCTCGGACGAGGTGTTGCAGTTTTCCCCTTCTGATGTTGTCATACAGCGCCACACCGACGTTGTTTTCATTACCGAGTCCGAGTATGGCGTGGCGCGCCTTTAATTCCCCTATGATGTATGTTGGTTTTCTGTGGTGCAGCAATTGGTTGAGGTCTTGCTCGGGTAAATAATGACGTCTGGGAGGTAGGTACATTGTGTATATGATAACAGGTCCCCTAGTTGTCTCCACCTGCACTCCAAGAACTGAATCAGCAGTGACCTGAGGGCCACAGCGACACCATCGTTCAGCTCACCCGTCATGTTCCTGTGGAATACAGTGTAGCCAAAAATGTTCAGCTTACTTTCGTCCTTTATGCTAGTACTGTTTGACAGAATAATATCTGGGTCTAATTGATAGTATATGTTAGACAGTTCGTTACGTCTATTAAGGGACAGTATGTTGGACAATTTTCATCCTGCTAACGACTGCCATTTCGGAGACTGTAGCTTGGGGCGTCGCTTGAAGTGTTTGCTCGTATTCTGCCATTTCTAGGGGGCCGGAACTTCTTAGCAGAACCTTCGAACATCTGCTTGTCAGTTAATGTCGGGCCCTCGACCTTCCCGTCACCCGTTTACGGGAAGACGTTCAGGTCCTGGGCCTGTGTGTTGAAGTCATCTACCGACGCTGCAGCTCTAGGGTCTTGTTCCTGTGTGGAGTAAGTCGCCATCATCTGGTCGCAAATATTGACTGTGGTTGCAGTCCGATGGTCACTGTCGTCGCTGGGAGTACATGTCTTGGGGTCACGGAGATGGTCCAGAAACTCCTGGATGATCCCTCTTCACGCAGGCTAAGAACACATATATTGTTATATGCGGAAGAAGATTTTAGTAGAGTACTGTTATCGCCGCTGGCTTTAGCTACAGTGCTGGCGTGTGATGCCATTAAATCTTTCGACCCGTGACCTCGCCAGATGTAGAAGTGTTTACAGACAAGTTCTGGTTCTGTCTTTGACTGGTGGTGGTGCTGTCTTATGGAGTGTTATCGCCACTGGCTTATTATCACTGGTGTCAGTGCTGACGTTTGCTGCTTTACCCGAACAAAACATTCGATCTCAGCCTGCGACCACGTGCCCTCCATGGGGCCTGTTACCTTGACAGATGTGGCGGCTCGGGGGGGGGGCGGTGTTTACCACCGGGAGTGTCCTCGCCACTGGCGTCAGTGCTGGCATCGCCGGGAGTGTTATCATCGCTGGCGTCAGCACTGGTGTCAGTGCTGACGCTTGGCTGCCTTACCCGAACAAAGATTAGGGGGGTGGGAGGTGTTTACGGAGAAGAGGTCCTGACTCTGCTAAATATATGGTTTAAAAGGCGGCGTGGCCGCCTGGACTCTCGGAGACTGCCCCCTCAAGTGATGCTGTGAGGATCAGCACTCTGCAAGCAGTGGTGAACAACAACTCCCAATTCTGGCCAAGTTTTTTGTACTGGAACAATTTACACAGTACTATCTTCCCTTGGAACACCATACTGGTTCGCATTGACCCGCACTTGTAAGTACAGCCAAAGTGATGACATACCCCTCAGTACTGAAATATTGTGGACTAATTATGCCTACTCGTTCCTGCCTTATCTGGAGCAATAAGACAAAGCGGAATGAAGTGTAGCTAAGATTAATAGAGTTATGAACTTTGTATCATGTCATTATGCTCAATAATCAATAACAATTTAGATAAATTGTGTGAGACAAACTAATTATGTATCAGATAGATCACCATGTAATACTAATTAACGCCTTGTTGTCTGCAGGTTTTGACCACATCAATAAATAATGAATGCTTCAAAAGACGGGTTTCAATCATTCCCTTCGACTTGCCCGTCACCTGAACGTCCTTAACTAAGACGTTTACAGTACAATTCAATTGGAATAATATATTGGCCAAATCATCTTTTGGTGGTTTTAAAGAACATTTGAGTCGTCCATATCTATTAGTAACATGGTTTAAATCTTAGGATCCCTTTGTTATTTCCTTATACCAGGATATGTCATTCAATTAATGCATATTGCATAATGCGTAATCTTTCAGAGTTTTGTTAGTGTAGTCGTGGTAAATATTTCAATTATAATTGAGTAGAATATTTTATTTTTACTTCGTGTATTACAACGAAATCAGCAGTGCTAACACAAATATGTAAGCGTAAACCACTATTCCAAAATTCCTGAAAAATGATACGAACACGGTATATTAATGAAACAATGAGAGAGAGTAAAGAAAATATATAAATAAACTTCACTGAAAACCAGATTATAAGACGTACAAATTAAATCACTTTTTGAGGATGAAGGAAGCTATTGAAATACTTTGGTACCAGTGTGTAGTAAGAAAACCCCGAAAATCAATTAATATAGTTATTCAGTAGCAAGAGCAACAAACATTCAATTAGATATGCACAGCCAAACAAATTTCCTAATACAATTCTATTCTTTGTAGATTTTCTCACAGGCCAACACTGCTGGCGGCGTCAGAGGGGAACCCATTTAATAAAATGATTATAATCAAGGACCCTGAAGCCCCCGAGAGACAGAGGCTCAAGTTCAAGGGTCCTCTCCCAAAGCTGCTGGATTGCCTCGCTGAAGCTTTCAATTTTACGTAAGTTCATCTTTCTAGTGTTAACTAACGCTCCTTGAAATCTTTCACATAACAGAGGCAATATTTCTTGAGTGAGATTCATGAACATAATTGCCATTTATTTCTCTGAATATGGAAGATGACCTTTAAACAGGTGGTTAACATCTGTTAGTCTAAGATGGTAATTAGCCGCTATTAGTAACTTCTTTTCAGTTCATTTAAAGCAGATGATTTGGCTGATAACCAACTACAATGAGAAGATTCTTCGTGCAGTTGGATGGGTTTAGGTCAGTCTATGCCTTCTGGCAATGTATATTCAAGCATGGATTTGTTTCCTGTGCAGAGCTACCCTTCCAATTCAGCCAGGGAGTTTGTTATGGGTCCTGTTTCATGACTGTAGCTTAATCAACGGGTCGGCCAGCCTAAAAAACGGTGATATGACGATGCAGTGTAATTTTGTCGGCTTTAAAGAATTTTCATTTGTCTTTTTCGTTACTGCTCTTCTTTACAACACCATATAAATCTGAAAAGTTGGGATAAATATCCCTTTATAATAGGTTATGAAATGTTATTCCAGGCTTACTACTGTTTTCAATCAAAACTAGTCGCATATTCAAAAGGTTCCCAGGTGTTTCTGTTGGAGGTCTGTCGAATTTAATGAGTTTTCTATATTTTGTGTTGCGAGGTCTTTTGTCACAATGTTATATAGTGTTTCTGGTTTCCTATGAATAGAAAAGAGATTCAAGTTATGAACAATTGTTATCTATAGTACAAGATGGTACATAGCACGTGTTTATGTTATCTATAGTACAAGATGGTACATAGTACGTGTTTATGTTATCTATAGTACAAGATGGTACATAGCACGTGTTTATGTTATCTATAGTACAAGATGGTACATAGCACGTGTTTATGTTATCTATAGTACAAGATGGTACATAGCACGTGTTTATGTTATCTATAGTACAAGGTGGTACATAGTACGTGTTTATGTTATCTATAGTACAAGATGGTAAATAGCGGGCGTTTATGTTATCTATAGTACAAGATGGTAAATAGCGCGTGTTTATGTTATCTATAGTACAAGATGGTACATAGTACATGTTTATGTTATCTATAGTACAAGATGGTACATAGTACGTGTTTATGTTATCTATAGTACAAGATGGTACATAGTACGTGTTTATGTTATCTATAGTACAAGATGGTACATAGTACGTGTTTATGTGATTTATAGTACAAGATGGTAAATAGCGCGTGTTTATGTTATCTATAGTACAAGATGGTACATAGTACGTGTTTATGTTATCTATAGTACAAGATGGTACATAGTACGTGTTTATGTTATCTATAGTACAAGATGGTAAATAGCGTGTGTTTATGTTATCTATAGTACAAGATGGTAAATAGCGCCGTGTTTATGTTATCTATAGTACAAGATGGTACATAGTACGTGTTTATGTTATCTATAGTACAAGATGGTACATAGCACGTGTTTATGTTATAGTACAAGATGGCACGTGTTTATGTTATCTATAGTACAAGATGGTAAATAGCGCGTGTTTATGTTATCTATAGTACAAGATGGTACATAGCGCGTGTTTATGTTATCTATAGTACAAGATGGTACATAGTACGTGTTTATGTTATCTATAGTACAAGATGGTAAATAGCGTGTTTATGTTATCTATAGTACAAGATGGTACATAGTACATGTTTATGTTATCTATAGTACAAGATGGTACATAGTACGTGTTTATGTTATCTATAGTACAAGATGGTACATAGTACGTGTTTATGTTATCTATAGTACAAGATGGTACATAGTACGTGTTTATGTGATTTATAGTACAAGATGGTAAATAGCGTGTGTTTATGTTATCTATAGTACAAGATGGTACATAGTACGTGTTTATGTTATCTATAGTACAAGATGGTACATAGTACGTGTTTATGTTATCTATAGTACAAGATGGTAAATAGCGTGTGTTTATGTTATCTATAGTACAAGATGGTAAATAGCGCGTGTTTATGTTATCTATAGTACAAGATGGCACATAGTACGTGTTTATGTTATCTATAGTACAAGATGGTACATAGCACGTGTTTATGTTATCGATAGTACAAGATGGTAAATAGCGCGTGTTTATGTTATCTATAGTACAAGATGGCAAATAGCGCGTGTTTATGTTATCTATAGTACAAGATGGTACATAGTACGTGTTTATGTTATTTATAGTACAAGATGGTAAATAGCGCGTGTTTATGTTATCTATAGTACAAGATGGCAAATAGCGCGTGTTTATGTTATCTATAGTACAAGATGGTACATAGCACGTGTTTATGTTATCTATAGTACAAGATGGTAAATAGCACGTGTTTATGTTATCTATAGTACAAGATGGTACATAGCACGTGTTTATGTTATCTATAGTACAAGATGGTACATAGTACGTGTTTATGTTATCTATAGTACAAGATGGGAAATAGCGCGTGTTTATGTTATCTATAGTACAAGATGGTACATAGTACGTGTTTATGTTATCTATAGTACAAGATGGTAAATAGCGCGTGTTTATGTTATCTATAGTACAAGATGGTACATAGTACGTGTTTATGTTATCTATAGTACAAGATGGTACATAGTACGTGTTTATGTTATCTATAGTACAAGATGGTAAATAGCGCGTGTTTATGTTATCTATAGTACAAGATGGTACATAGCACGTGTTTATGTTATCTATAGTACAAGATGGTACATAGTACGTGTTTATGTTATCTATAGTACAAGATGGTAAATAGTACGTGTTTATGTTATCTATAGTACAAGATGGTACATAGCACGTGTTTATGTTATCTATAGTACAAGATGGTGCATAGTACGTGTTTATGTTATCTATAGTACAAGATGGTAAATAGTACGTGTTTATGTTATCTATAGTACTATAGTACAAGATGGTAAATAGCGTGTGTTTATGTTATCTATAGTACAAGATGGTAAATAGCGCGTGTTTATGTTATCTATAGTACAAGATGGTACATAGCGCGTGTTTATGTTATCTATAGTACAAGATGGTACATAGTACGTGTTTATGTTATCTATAGTACAAGATGGTACATAGCACGTGTTTATGTTATCTATAGTACAAGATGGTAAATAGCGCGTGTTTATGTTATTTATAGTACAAGATGGTAAATAGCGCGTGTTTATGTTATCTATAGCACAAGATGGCAAATAGCGCGTGTTTATGTTATCTATAGTACAAGATGGTACATAGCGAGTGTTTATGTTATCTATAGTACAAGATGGTAAATAGCGCGTGTTTATGTTATCTATAGTATAAGATGGTACATAGCACGTGTTTATGTTATCTATAGTACAAGATGGTACATAGTACGTGTTTATGTTATCTATAGTACAAGGTGTCATGTTGTATCTGTGGTAAGGGTGTGAACGTGGTATGCGACGCAGGTGGTAAAACTGGTGACATGGTATCGCAGTACAAGATGGTACATAGCGGCGTGTTTATATTTATCTATAGTACAAGATGGTACATAGTCACGTGTTTATGTTATCTATAGTACAAGATGAATTTTATATACTGTGTTTATGTTATCTATAATTTTTAAGATGGTAAATAGCTGGCGTGTTTATGTTATTTATGGTACAAGATGGTAAATAGCTGGCGTGTTTATGTTATCACTATAGTACAAGATGGTACATAGTACGTGTTTATGTTATCTATAGTACAAGATGGTACATAGTACGTGTTTATGTTATCTATAGTACAAGATGGTACATAGCACGTGTTTATGTTATCTATAGTACAAGATGGTACATAGTACGTGTTTATGTTATCTATAGTACAAGATGGTAAATAGCGCGTGTTTATGTTATCTATAGTACAAGATGGTACATAGTACGTGTTTATGTTACCTATAGTACAAGATGGTACATAGTACGTGTTTATGTTACCTATAGTACAAGATGGTACATAGTACATGTTTATGTTATCTATAGTACAAGATGGTAAATAGCGCTTGTTTATGTTATCTATAGTACAAGATGGTACATAGTACGTGTTTATGTTATCTATAGTACAAGATGGTAAATAGCGCTTGTTTATGTTATCTATAGTACAAGATGGTACATAGTACGTGTTTATGTTATCTATAGTACAAGATGGTACATAGTACGTGTTTATGTTACCTATAGTACAAGATGGTAAATAGCGCGTGTTTATGTTATCTATAGTACAAGATGGTACATAGTACGTGTTTATGTTATCTATAGTACAAGATGGTAAATAGCGCGTGTTTATGTTATCTATAGTACAAGATGAATTTTTATAGTACGTGTTTATGTTATCTATAGTACAAGATGGTAAATAGCGCGTGTTTATGTTATCTATAGTACAAGATGGTAAATAGCACGTGTTTATGTTATCTATAGTACAAGATGGTACATAGCACGTGTTTATGTTATCTATAGTACAAGGTGGTACATAGTACGTGTTTATGTTATCTATAGTACAAGGTGGTACATAGTACGTGTTTATGTTATCTATAGTACAAGATGGTAAATAGCACGTGTTTATGTTATCTATAGTACAAGATGGTACATAGCACGTGTTTATGTTATCTATAGTACAAGATGGTACATAGCACGTGTTTATGTTATCTATAGTACAAGATGGTAAATAGCACGTGTTTATGTTATCTATAGTACAAGATGGTAAATAGCACGTGTTTATGTTATCTATAGTACAAGATGGTACATAGTACGTGTTTATGTTATCTATAGTACAAGATGGTAAATAGCACGTGTTTATGTTATCTATAGTACAAGATGGTACATAGTACGTGTTTATGTTATCTATAGTACAAGATGGTACATAGTACGTGTTTATGTTATCTATAGTACAAGGTGGTACATAGTACGTGTTTATGTTATCTATAGTACAAGGTGGTACATAGCACGTGTTTATGTTATCTATAGTACAAGATGGTACATAGTACGTGTTTATGTTATCTATAGTACAAGATGGTACATAGCACGTGTTTATGTTATCTATAGTACAAGATGGTAAATAGCGCTTGTTTATGTTATCTATAGTACAAGATGGTACATAGTACGTGTTTATGTTATCTATAGTACAAGATGGTAAATAGCGCTTGTTTATGTTATCTATAGTACAAGATGGTACATAGTACGTGTTTATGTTATCTATAGTACAAGATGGTACATAGTACGTGTTTATGTTACCTATAGTACAAGATGGTAAATAGCGCGTGTTTATGTTATCTATAGTACAAGATGGTACATAGTACGTGTTTATGTTATCTATAGTACAAGATGGTAAATAGCGCGTGTTTATGTTATCTATAGTACAAGATGGTAAATAGCGCTTGTTTATGTTATCTATAGTACAAGATGGCACATAGTACGTGTTTATGTTATCTATAGTACAAGATGGTACATAGTACGTGTTTATGTTATCTATAGTACAAGATGGTACATAGTACGTGTTTATGTTACCTATAGTACAAGATGGTAAATAGCGCGTGTTTATGTTATCTATAGTACAGATGGTACATAATGCGGTGTTTATGATATCTATAGTATAAGTGGTAAATAGCGGCGTGTTTGTAATTATCCTATAGTGCAAGATGGTAAATGGCGCTTATTTGTATTATCTATAGTACAAGATGGTACATAGTACGTGTTTATGTTATCTATAGTACAAGATGGTACATAGTACGTGTTTATGTTATCTATAGTACAAGATGGTAAATAGCGCGTGTTTATGTTATCTATAGTACAAGATGGTACATAGTACGTGTTTATGTTATCTATAGTACAAGATGGTACATAGCACGTGTTTATGTTATCTATAGTACAAGATGGTACATAGTACGTGTTTATGTTATCTATAGTACAAGATGGTAAATAGCGCGTGTTTATGTTATCTATAGTACAAGATGGTAAATAGCGCGTGTTTATGTTATCTATAGTACAAGATGGTACATAGCGCGTGTTTATGTTATCTATAGTACAAGATGGTACATAGTACGTGTTTATGTTATCTATAGTACAAGATGGTACATAGCACGTGTTTATGTTATCTATAGTACAAGATGGTAAATAGCGCGTGTTTATGTTATTTATAGTACAAGATGGTAAATAGCGCGTGTTTATGTTATCTATAGCACAAGATGGCAAATAGCGCGTGTTTATGTTATCTATAGTACAAGATGGTACATAGCGAGTGTTTATGTTATCTATAGTACAAGATGGTAAATAGCGCGTGTTTATGTTATCTATAGTACAAGATGGTAAATAGCGCTTGTTTATGTTATCTATAGTACAAGATGGTACATAGTACGTGTTTATGTTATCTATAGTACAAGATGGTAAATAGCGCGTGTTTATGTTATCTATAGTACAAGATGGTAAATAGCGCTTGTTTATGTTATCTATAGTACAAGATGGTACATAGTACGTGTTTATGTTATCGATAGTACAAGATGGTACATAGTACGTGTTTATGTTATCTATAGTACAAGATGGTACATAGTACGTGTTTATGTTATCTATAGTACAAGATGGTACATACTGTAGTACGTGTTTATGTTATTTATAGTACAAGATGGTAAATAGCGCGTGTTTATGTTATCTATAGTACAAGATGGTACATAGTACGTGTTTATGTTATCTATAGTACAAGATGGGACATAGCACGTGTTTATGTTATCTATAGTACAAGATGGTACATAGCACGTGTTTATGTTATCTATAGTACAAGATGGGACATAGCACGTGTTTATGTTATCTATAGTACAAGATGGTATATAGCACGTGTTTATGTTATCTATAGTACAAGATGGTACATAGCGCGTGTTTAGAATGATGTGTGGGATCTTTTGTTGTAGGTCAGTATCCATCTGTACATTGCAATGGCTATCTTTGGCATACTAATAATGCCACCATTGCACTTCCCGGCTCCATTTAGCCATTGTTTTGCTTGACGAGTGTCTCCTTGCTTCAACGGACGTTCTGTTCTCGTCATACCAAAGTTTCTCTTCTCAAACTCTATTTGAATGGTATAGGGAATTTGTTTAATTTCAGCTAGATACTGTACACTGTGCCCCACCTTCCATAATTGGGTTGATCATAACATATGAAATATGAAATTATCAAAGTATCAGACGAAATGAGTCAGGGTGTAGCTCTTGTGAAGAGTGGGAGGGCGAAAACCATGTCCATTAGTTGACGTCTTTTGCAGGGAATTTTGTGACACAGAAACTGTCAGTAAGAGATGAAATCAGTCCTGCTTCAGCATGAGTAAAATTTCTTTGTAGCTTCATAAATATCACTGGAAAAAGTCTCATACTGATGGTGGCATTGACTGTTATGTTCTGAAATGAAGGAATGGCATCAAAATGTTCCACAGTGTTTGTAGTGTGTGTGATCCCTCACTGCTTTATTATATTCTGTTCCAGTCAGCGCCTGGCGTAACTAAATCATTCTCCTAACACGCCTTGGCTAGGTCACACTCATTCATATGATCCCCAAAGACAATTGGGAAATTGTCTTAGGGGAAATTTATCGATATATATATATATATATATATATATATATATATATATATATATATATATATATATATATATATATACTATAGTAAATCACTGTAGGTGCGCGTGATCAGGTATATGCTGATAACCACAAGGAAAAGAAAAAACACGAAGTTCAAGCGCTTTCGTGTAATTCACATCTTCAGGGGTGAGTACAGACTGTCACCCCTGAAATATCTTTCTTGTAGTTATATATATATATATATATATATATATATATATATATATATATATATATATATATATATATATATATATATGTATATCTTAAATGCGTCATGACAGTGTACCTTTGTTTCAGGCACCCGGATATTACATTATATCACACCATAACTGTATTGAGGGTGTCCTAGTCATTGAATGAAGCAAGAATGATCGGTAAATATCCTACTGATATTAACTCAGAATTCTTATATGATATTGGGTGATTAAAAGTTGTCTCGCCAACTTTTTTATCTTGATTCCTGACGGAGAGTCTTGCCAGTTTCGTATCCTTGACACATTTGGATTATTATGCAATGCATTCAAACGATGTCTTCTCTACTGGACTGGAGCATTTTAGCAAGAATTTTTTTTCAAGGGGACAGACGTTTTCTATGATACTTGGAACTTGCAGAGTTGTATTAACTGGCATTAATATTATGTACAATAAAACAAGAAATTTATTTTAACATATTTCTTATTCAAATGCCTGCAGAAAAATTGAGAAAACTTTTATTTCATATACTGAAACAACTTACCTTCTTATTAATCGCATTATGTTTTGCAAAGAAAAGTGTGGTACCGTATAACCTTTGGCTGTATTTTATGCTACAGTTACAGATATGTGAGGCCTCCTGATAGGGTATGGGGCGTTAAGCTTGACAATGGGTCCTGGAACGGTATGGTGGGCATGGTGATGAGGGAGGTAAGTGTACAGTAAGTGTAGTGAACCACCAAGACGAACGACGGGCTCTGGTTCAGTTTGGAGAGTATGGTGAACAGGGTATTGAGTACAAAGAGGCTTAAACAGGGTGACGGGTTTTGGTGTGCTATGTAATATACTAAGGCTCCGATAGCTTTGGCTGTATTGTATGATCTAATTTCTATGATAATGGAAAAACGTTTCAGTAACTATTGCAATCTATTATTTATGTAACTTATGACATAAGACAGAAAAAAACATTACTTATTAACCACAATTTTTGGTACTTGCAGGAAGTAAGCATAGGTGTTGGTCCATTCATACTCAATAAAGCCCGCGCAGAAGTTATGGACTTCACTGTTCCAATACTGACGGACTACTGGAGGATCCTGGGTGCTCGAGGGAGGCCAGAGGTGGACCCGTGGGGCTTCCTGCTGCCCCTGGCGCCGCTGGTGTGGGTGACCATCCTGACGGCGCTGCTGGTGTTAGCAGTGATGGTGTACCTCATGTCCTCATGCTTCTCTCCCTTGACCAAAAGTCAAGGGACTTGGCTACAGATCATATTCTCTTACTCCCGCATACTGCTACAACAAGGTAGGTCAAGATCAAAATAAATATGCTTCGAAATTCTTATGTTCACCCAGAAGCTTATACAAACTGACATAATCTTACCAAGATTAGATTGACTTTAGATAGAAGAACTGGATTTAATTGGGTACGTTAGAAAAGGGTGTAGACAGGCTGTGCAGATAGTAGTGCCGGCACTTTGAACAAGCCTGAGCTAAGGGCCAGAGGTGAGATTTTTCATGACCTTGCCGGGCGGACAAATTAATCTTTCAGAAGGAAATTACCAAGACAACAATTAGTCAGCGGCTGCGTGACCTCACCTCCTGTACTTGTTTCACTAGTGAGGTCCGTTAACCAGCAAGGTGACAGACGGGGAGGAGGAGGACTGACCAGTCCTAGAGACAAAGGACTATAATCAGAATCTTAGGTAAGAATTGTTTGACAGGCTTACTCTATGTAAAAAAAAAGTGCCGGACCCCCCTCCCCTGAAAAAAACAGTCTTGTTGACCCCATGTAAGACAAAACAGCTAGTTTGGTCACTTTTTGGCCAAACATGGCCAAAATCTGAGATTTTTAAAAGGGTGGAATGGTGTTACGACATTGAACCTAATGAATTCCTGAATATTTTCCACTACTATTTTGTGGCCAAGGAACCTGACCAATGTGGCCAACATTTGGTAAGATTTGGCCAGCTTTCAGCCACAACCAGTTTTTCCATATGAATATTAATAAAATTGTACTCGACATTAATAAAATGTAAGTATGTATGAGAATCAAAATTACAATGCCAAATATCGACATGAAACACAAAAGGGCATTTTGTTACTATTAATGTTAATTTAACCAAATATAGTGCATAACTTTTATACGGTGCAGTAAGCACTAAGCAAATCATACATTTTGAATTAACAAATATTCAAACATAAGTGGGTTCAGTTACACACTATGAAAAGCAGTGTATATAATGGTAATCATAAGATGATTTTGAAAGGTATATATCGTAATTATTCATCTCCACCATCATCTTCTGTATCAGCATAAGTAATACTATCATCGTCGTCATCTTCATCATCTTCATCTTCATCTGCAACATTTTCTGATTCTTTGGTGTCAGAAAACACAGTTGGCACCTGACTGTCAGTAAACCAGAGTGGTAGAAAAACTCCACTAACATCTTTCAGCCATGATCTGTGGGTTCAGTGTTCTTTAGTGGATCTCTTAGATGCGCATGCTTCTAGATATATACCACATTGTTGCACCGTGCCAGTTTTTGCATCAGAAAATCTTTGCAGGGTGGAGGCATACCTGCATCAATTCCCATTATTTTCTCCAGTGTACTATCTGGATCGGTCGGTTTGTATTTCTGTCGAAAGATTTTCAGCCTGTCTTTATTCACGGATGATAATGCTCCTTGACTATAAAGTGAACACACATATCCTTCTACAAGGCTGTCGCCATCAACAAAGTTTGTGTTCTCTCCAAGTCTGCCAAGGTCTTCAAGATATAGAGCACTTTTTTCAGCTTTTTTCAGTGGGTTAACCTTTCCTTTCCTGAAGAAAGGTGACTAGTAGTCACTTCCTGTCAGTGCATTGTTTTGCAGAGAAGTGGACCAAGGTAGTTTGCTAGTGTCTGGCATGATACAGAAGGATGACCATGATGTCAGTGTCTGTTACACGGACAACAACATTTTGCCCTGGTATTATTTTTGACTGGACACTGAGATGGTACATTAGCCGTGTATCGGCTTCCACATGTGAGCATACGTACTCAGGTGCCTGATTATGTTCGATATTTCCTGAAAGAGTTTCTGTATACTGAAGACATTGCTGCTCATGTGCAACAATAACTGTCTTTTGCTTTATGATAACTGAATCTTTGTTATCTTTCTATTCATCCTTGAAAAACTTATTAAGTTATGTTTTAAAATTTGGTGATCTCAAGGCTTGGCTGAAATCTTTAGGGCATAACTGATCTACGCCAGTTATGTGAAACAATCCATCATTTGTACTTGTTGCTCAATATTCTTTATACTTTTCACATAACTGTCACATACAAAGTGTACTTTAAGTGCCTTTGCACTGTATGTGATTTTCAGGACCAGTTCTGCTACATTTTTAAAAGTGAGAGGCAAATCATAGGGAGTGACTGAATTGTAAACAAGGCATCATAAAGAAATGTGTTAACTGTTGTTGGCTCTGTGTGCGTAATCAAATCTACAAGGTGTTTGGAAAGTTTGTATTTTGGTCCCTGTCTCATCGTGCCATACATACTAGCCAAAGATCGACTAATCTACCCAGCAAGCTCCGTGTTGTCTTCAGCACTACAACCTTTTCATCTCTATTTCGTACTTTGTTCTTGATAGCGGCACTGGCAAAGTTTCTCACAATTCTTCTCTACAGTGGCCTTGTAGGATCCTTTAAGCATTCTTGGAAGGACTCATCTTTCCACTTATTTCCCAAAACAAAGAGATTTAGCATATCCTCTTTCACTTCATCTAACATTTTCTTGCCATCTGCTAGGAAGTACAGATTGGTGTCCTCGAGCAGGAACTCGACAAAAGGATTCATAGGAGTCCCAATCATTTTGGAAATGCTTTCCAAGCGTCTTTAATATTTACTCACCTTTGACTTTCCTAGTTCATAGCTTGGATTCTTCTTCCTCTTTATTGCTGCTTTTTCCAACAGTTGCCTAATTATGGCGCTTCTGGCTTGATCTAATAACTGTCCAGCGTCTGGTTGCTCCTTGACTTTGATGGAAATTGGTGATTCCAGTTTGTCGCGAAGTTGCGTCACAGATAAACCACCTCGTACAAGTTGTTGCGTAATGCCAGGTTGGGTGGTATCCATGTTCATGAGTCTCATATAGTATAAGCACATGTGGCTTGAATAATTACGGCGATTTGCAGCAAAGAAAATTTAAATAATTTTCCCAAGCATCAACTGACCAAAGCAACTTCACCTAAACCTTTTCAAGTCTCCAACGACAACCTTTATACCTCTTTCCTTTCTAAGGGAGGTGTTTGCACCTACTGCAATGCACGTACACCTACAGCTTACAGATCTTAAATCTTCCCTTTATGATGTCATTTGGCTCAAAATATCTCTACCAACTATGCTTATTTTTCTTTGTTTCCTATACTGTTCTCCCAACTCTACCAACTATTAGGAACTCTTTGACTATCTCACTTCTTGCCATGAGTCGTTGCTATCCACACACCCCAACACCGAGATCCTCTACTTAGGGGATTTCAATGTTCATCACAGAGAGTAGCTTGGCTCTGCAAGGGATGACCCAGGTGGAGCTGAGGCACTCTCTTTTTCCCTACTTAATGATTTGCAACAAATAATCAAACACCCTACACGCGTTCCTCATCGACAAGATCATCTTGCTAACATTCTTGATCTTTGTTTTACCTCTAACCCCTCACACTATTCATACTCAATTTCTGCCCCCTTCCACCCACGATCTTTTGATCACAATCTTATTTCTATAAAATGAAACTGGGCACGACCACCTCCCCCACCCCCCTCTAAGCGTCAACTATGACACTATCGGAGGGCAAGCTGGCAATCCTTGCGAGAACTCTTCTCACACTTTCCTTGGAAAGAATATTGCTTTTCCACTCGGGACGCCTCGGTCTGTGCTGACAGTATTGCCGGGGTTATACAGGGTAGTATGAGTGCATTTATCACATCTTCTACCAAAACTTTCACTTTAAAATCAAGGTTTGATCGCTCCTGCTCTCTTGCATGCAGGGAGAGAGATAGGGCATATCAAACTATGAAGCTATTTCCTTGTCCTATTACCCACTCCTCTTTCATTACTTCTAGGAATCGTTGTAAGGCAATTCTTTGTAGGGCCAACTGGAATTTTATAAAAAGAAAGACCTCTGTCCTGACTAATTCTGGTCCTTAACCGAATACATCTGTAATAACTTCTGCACCAAATCTTTTCCTCCTCTCTTCTGATTCCACCTTAGATGATTCCAACTCTATCCATCCTTTCCCTGCTTCTCTTACTGAACTTATGCACTTTCCTGTAATCTCCACTCGCAGGGGTGCTGGTGTCTTTTCCAGGTTGGATGTGAGTAAGGTGCATGGACAGGACGGAATACCCCCTCGTTTTCTGATGGAGTGTGCTGTAGCTCTGGCCCCTGTGCCTGCTCGCCTCTCTCGCCCTGCCTTAAAACCCAAACTTTTCCATCTTCTTGGAAGCATACCTTGGTTCAGCACATCACGAAGAAGAGTGACCATTCTAATCCCTCTAACTATCGCCTCATTTCCCTAACTTCATCCCTCTCTAACATTTTCGAAACTATCTTGAACTCCCATTTTCTCCGTCACCTTGAACGCCATTCTCTTTTGTCAGATCAACAGTATGGCTTTCGCCAGGCGATATCTACTGGTGATCTGCTCTCCTATTGCACCCATCTTTGGTCATACAATACTCTCTAAGTGATTATAGGGAAACTTTCGTTGTGGCCCTCGATATCTCCAAAGCATTTGACAGGGTATGGCACGAGTCTTTGCCTTCTAAACTTCACTCTTATGGTTTCTCTCCCTCACTTTGTTCTGTAATATCTAGCTTCTATGAGAACCGATCCATGGCAGTTGTTGTCGAGGGATCGATCTCTCCCTCTTTCTATACCAGTAGTGGTGTCCCACAGGATTCTGTTCTTTCACCTACTCTCTTCCTTCTTTTTATCAATGATTTACTTCAATCTACTACTAATTCTATCCATTCTTACGCTGATGATTCTACTCTTCACTCTTCTTCATATTTTTCCCTTCCCCTTAACTCTCAACCTAGGTCTGTTTCTAGAGCTGATATCATTACCTCTATCAATGCAGATCTGTGCAGCATCTCTGAATGGGGAAGTAGAAACTTGGTTAAATTCAATAGTAATAAAACTCAGTATTTACCAATTACACTTTCTAAATTAAATTATCTCCCGCCAATCACATTTCAGGACGCAATCATTCTGCGCAATGTCATGGGAGCCACACCTCCGCAACATTGCTAAAACT